ATGGCCTTGTACAGCAGCCTGGGGGGACACGGGGGGTTGGGGGGTGTCCCCTTGGCAGGTGGCAGCCACCCTGTGGCCACCCCCAGGGACTCACGCAGGCCACCCCTCGAAGGTGGACACGGTGAACAGGGCCATCATCCCCGCCAGGACGTTGTCGAAGTTGAAGTCGCTGTTGTGCCAGAGGCGCTCCCGCACCGACGGGTGGGATACGTCCCCATCCTTGTACACCAGGAATGTCCCCCTGGGATGGGGACACAGGGACAGCCAGGGTGAGACCCCAATCCCCAACAGAACACTGCCACCACTGAGGAGTGGGACACGTCCCCATCCTTGTACACCAGGAATGTCCCCCTGGGACAGGGACATGGGGACAGCCAGGATGACACCCCAACCCCCAACACGACACTGCCATTGACTGGTGGGACCACAGAGACGGCAACAGTTGAGACCCCAGCCAGACTCATAGGAGACACAGGGACACCACAGGGACATCACAGGGCCAGTAACAGTGAGACCCCAATGGGATGTTGCCACTGCTGGAGGGGGCAACACCATGGGGACACCAGTGGGGTGGGTGAGGGCCAAGATTTGAGGTCTTTTGAGGGTGCACAGTCAGTTTAAGGGTGTGAGGGATCATCTCTGGGGCGTGGGGGGTCACTTTGGGGGGTGTGGGGTTGCATTTGGGGGTCACTTTGGAGGGTGTGATGCTCACTTGCACTCTCCTGGCGTGTGTTTGGCCTCATCGGTGCAGCTGTAGAATTTGCCCTGGGGGGACGGGGTGGTTAGGGAGATCCTCAGCCCCCTGGGGGCTGGGGACCCCTCAGGGAGGGCTGGAGACCCTTCTGGGGGGTGGGGACCCCTCAGGGAGGGCTGGGCCCCACCTTGAAGAGCTGCACCCCAATGCACGCAAACATGAACTGCAGCAGTGTCGTGACGATCATGATGTTCCCGATGGTGCGGATGGCCACGAACACGCACTGCACCACGTGCTGGGGACAGGGACAGGGGTGTCACCGAGGCATGGGGACAGGGACAGGGGTGTCATTAGGGCATGGGGACAGGGACATGGGTGTGGAGGCCATTGTGCACTGGGGACACCTGTGCCACCACTACCTTGGGACACTGGGGACACAGGGACAATGAGGACACCTGTGCCACCAGCAGCACATGCCAGGGTCCCAGTGCTCCCAGTCCCACCAGCCTCCAGCCTGCCAGGGG